GAGTATGGTAAGTGGGAGAGCAGCCAAGCAAGAGCCCATGACTCTGAGCCAGCCAACAGCAGCATCCAGGGATTTGGACGTTTTGACTCTTTAAGAAAAGCAGGAAATACTCATCAGTTTTTAAATACTGGAAAACTATAAGAAACTTTCTAGGCAATATTGTACAGGCCACCAGTGGGGTGTGTGTTTGTGTGTGTGAAAGAGAGAGACAGAGAGAGTTTTATGTATTTTCTTTACTAGATAAGAGCCCTGCATGGAAAGAAACTAAAGGTGGAATTGCTTCACTTGATACACAGCTCTATGAATAAGAAAAAAATGTTTGTTGTCATAGGTTACTGAGATTTTGAGGTTAATAAAAAGCAAAATTCAACTCATGCATCACCCTTGGGTTCCCTGTTTGAGGTAACTGAAGAGAAGCAAGTGACTTTCACACACACATAATGTGTGTGTGTGTGTATAATAAATAGTTGCCCTTATGATTGTTCAGGTCCTGACAAATCTTATGCGGTTTCCTAGGGAGCCCATCAACCAATAAATGGATAACAAAAATGTGGTATATATACACAGTGGAGTATTATTCAGCCACAAAGAAGAATGAAATTATGTCACCTGCAGGAAAATGAATGAATCAAGCTCAGTGAAATAAGCCAGAATGAGAAAGTCACATATCACATGTTCTTTGTCAAATGTGGAATCTAGTAAAAAATAAAATCACAGGAATGTAAAACAGGTTCTGTTTAGGGGTAGGTGCCAGCAGGAGTGGGGAGACCCTAAGGAGAGAGTACAAGGTGGGGCAGATGGAGGGGTGAATATGTTTAAAGTATTCTATATCCATGTATGAAAATGGAACAATGAAATCTATCAAAATTGTTCCAAGAAGAAGGAAGGGGGATGAAGGAGAGTGGTAGAGGGGATGGGTCTGATTGGACACAGTGTATGCAGTGTGGAAAACATCACAGTGAAACCTGTATACAACTAATATATTCCTATGGAAAAAAACCTACGGGGTTTCTATAACAGAAGTTAGGCTTGATCCAATTTCTCTTGGAAGTGCTTGTTTTGTGCTGTTTTGACCTCTGAAAAACCTGAATGCACCATCTCTGTCTACCTCTTACCTTCTTGTACAGGCTGAATATCCCTTATCCAAAATGCTTGGGACCATAAGTGTTTCTTATATTGGATTTTTCATGTTTTGGAATATTTGCATATCCATCATGAGATAGCTTGAGTATGGGACTCAGCTCTAAACATGTAATTCAGTCACATGTCATATCCACATTACACACAGCCTGAAGGTAATTTTACTATGCTGTATCAGAATACAATAATAGCAATTTTTAGTAGTTTACTCTTTTTGGCCACACTGGGGTTTGAACTCAGGGTCTCATACTTGCTAGTCAAGCACTCCTGGTGCTGAAGGTAATTTATACAGTATTTTTTTAGTGCACCTGTTTGTTGACTGTGATCCATCATATGAGGTCATCTCTGGAATTCTCCACTTGTGGTGTCATGTCTGCACTCAAAAAATTTCGGATTTTTTGAAGTAGGTGATGTAAAACCTGAATGTATACAAGAACTAATGCCACTCATAAATTGTGTCATAAACTTACAGACCATTTGAAACTTAATAGGACAATGTGTGGTGAATAGTGGTTTCATGTTTTTTGCTTGAGAGTTTTTGACTCTATTCTACCAACATGTATGATAGGTATTAGATATTAAAGGTATAGATTGAAATTATTAAATTTATTAGCGCTAGAAAAGTCTAGTGGGATGGTGGCAGGTATTAAAACTTGCAAGTGCCAAATATTCTTGAAACCCAGGAGTGGCAATCAACCTTAACTAGATCTGCAGAGGGATCTCAGAGGATATGAGAAAACTTTTAGAGTTGGGTGTAGTGGCTCAAGCCTGTAATCCCAGTTACTTCAGAGGTCAAAGTAAGAGGATTGTGGTCTGAGATCTGCCCTGGGCAAAATTGCAAGACCCGATCTAAAAATCAAACTTAATAGCAAAAGAACTTGAGGCACAAGTAGTAGAATGCTTGCCTAATAAGTGTGAGGCACTGAGTTCAATCTCCGGTTCCCCCCCTGCAAAAAAAACCTTTTAAAGATGAATAGCTTTGATTATGTAATAAAGTGGGGGACGGTATTCTATGAGAGAAACCATACACAAAGAAAAGGGAGGCACGAGCACTTGTATTTTCAGAAAGTAGGAAGGAGTGTAGGGTAAAGAGACTCGGGTATGAGTGGAGAGGGGATAAAATAAAGCTGTTAGGTAAGCTGAGACCAGGTTGTAAGTTGTTTTGGATGTTGTAAATGATTTAAAAAGATGGCCACCATCAATTCCTCCCATCTATTATGCACATACCACTGACCCATCCACAAGTAGAGTCTCCTGTGCCTTCAATCTCTCTGGCTTGAGACTTCTTTCATGGTCGGCATATAGAAGTGACTGAGTGCCAGTTCTGAGTGCTGGCAATTTATATTCCCTGGCTGGCTCTTGGGACACCGCCTCTTAGAACCTAATATTATTCTATGAGAATCCAATGGAGAGATAATAAAAACACACTCTGGTGAACAGTTCTGAGGAAGTTTCTGCCCAGTAGCCAACCCTGTAAGTGCTCCATCCAGCTTCTTCGGATTGTAGTCTCAGCTGACACCTACCACTGTAAGATGAAAAATGCCTGGCAGACATCTCAGAGGGGTAAATCATAATGATATAACAATAATAACAAATTATTCTTTTAAGTCATTAGGTTTTCAGTGAATTTGCTATGTAACAATAGATAACCAGAACAGGTGTTAAAGAAATTGTCCTAGGTATCATCTGTAATGACTGCATATCTGAGTGGCTTTAAGAATTGATAAAAGAAAACCAAAAATGATGATGGAGGTTTAACTTGAAGGTCTCTTACTACACAGGTGAGCTGCAATAAGGCAGCTGTTTCTACATATTTCATTTGGTTCTATTGCTGTTGTGCTCATGTTTTCCTTGAAAGGCTAATGTTCTAGGGAAGCAATGTGATGTTCTAGAAAAAAACCCAAGTTTTGTGGCCAAGGGGCATCTAGATTCAAATCCCACTAGTATCACTTATGCTGTGTATGAGTGAGGCAATTCACCTAATGGATTTGACTTTGTGCTTCCCCATTTGTCCTTTATGAAGCCAGTCTACCCGTCCCAAGTTGATGTGATTGTTGACATCTACTTGACCTCTGCAGAACTGACCTTGGCTGATGGGAGCCATGTTGCTTTGAAAGTTCAAACTTACTCACATACCCTGGGGATGGTCCCCAGTCAATGATGGGTTGATATAGGTGCGCAAATGTGACTTCTTTCACAAGAACAAGGTCTATGCTTCAAAATATTCTCTTTCAGGTCCAGGAAACAATGCCACAGCTTTTCTTAGCTTTTGCTCCATCCTTATCCTGGTTCATCCAATCCCTTAAAGATTTTCTCCAAATAACATTCCCCTAATAAAGCCCATGCTCCCAAATCCCCATCTCAGGCTCTGATTTGGAGAATCTTTAAAATACATATTCTCCCTTAAGTTTCCCTTGTAAGCCCTCCTTTCCAAAATTTGCTGACATGATAAATTGAAATTGTCTACCATTTAATAAACACTTTACAAATGATAGCAGATTTCCTCTTTCATCCTCCCTATTGGTACGAAGTGGAAAATAAGAGGAATGTTTTTTAAATATAAAAGACCCTCAAGTGTAGGAACTTTTACAAGCACTTGTAGGATACTGCATGGGAAGCCAGAAAAACAGACAAGAGAGACATTGACTTTTTCAAACGGGGTCTGTTATGCCTATCGCATGGAGTTATGGTGAGGATCAATTGAAATAATATCTCTGAGCTTAACAGAGTTCTCTATCAGAGTAAGCACTCAGTGAGAGTAACCACTGCCTTTCCATTTGATGACAGGTTTCAGAAGCATGGGCCAGCCCATGCCTTCCATGGTGTCAATCACCAAGCACTCAGCACAGAGACAGCGTGTGGTGTTTGCTGCAGAAATTACAGTGAGTAGAGAAATCATACTTTATAAAAGATGAAACAGGCTACAGGATGGTTCTCAGCTGGCTGTGAATCAACCTAGTTCTCCCCCTTCGCTCACCTGCAAACCTCAAGAATAACTGTTGAATGTGTTGGGAACGCATTATCCTGACATAATGTGGGATGGACTGGACAATGGGAGCTCTGTTCCAACCTACTTCCCCAGAAACAGGAAACCCTTTCTATGGTTCCAGTGTATCTCCCAAAGTCTGTGTGTAGGAAATGTGGTCCCCAGCAGAGCAGTGTTGAGAGGTGAGAACTTTAAGAGTGATAAGATCATGAGAGCTCCACCCTCAAGAATGGATGAACGCTGTCTTTGCAGGAGTTGGTCAGTTACTTCAGGAGTGGGCTCCTGATAAAAGAATGAGTTCAACTTCCTTCCTCCCTCTTTTTCTCCCCCACTCTCAGCCTCTCAGCTTTTGCCATGAGATGACACAACAAGACAGTCCCTGCCAGACCCTGCCACATTGGTATTGGACTTTGCAGCCCCTAGAACTGTGAAAACTAAATTTCTTTTCCTTACAAATCACTCAGTCTATGGAATTCTGTTATAGCAACACAAAATGAACTAAGACCCTTCAATGCGTAAGCTCAGCATTTCCTGTGACCCCAGGGTATCAAACCCAGTGTTCCTCAGCAGCAGTGTGGGGCATACATAATCAAGACTCTCCTTGCCCTGGGCAGCTTTCCTGAGCTGTAGAGGTAGGCTGGCACGAATCCTAGGCTTGTCATCCTTTACAGCCTATCTGTAAGTAAATCCGTTTCATGTGAGTTGTTGTGTATGAGTGTGTTCTGATTTAGGAGAGTTGGTAGCCCAGGCACAGTAAACTTCCATCACACAGATTCCATTTGCAGTCCGGGCACTAACTCTAAGCTCAACACTTCTCACAATTGTGAGCAGAATGGTACACACATACTCAAATAGCCAGATTCATTTGGTCATTAACACAGTTTATTATTGGCACACTTACCAGTAAAGCATACATAAAATACAGCTGTTTTATAACACACGGAGCCACTGTGTCTTTACATGTGTGGAGGAACATATTAATATGCAAATGGAAAAATTAGTTCTCTTATAAAGTTTCACATAAATACACTGGAATTGCCCCAAAAGAAAAGTCCCCATAAAAGAACTAGGTGAGGGCTTTACAAAATATTATACAAGAAATATATCATAAAAAAAGAACAGTTAACTCAGATACAATGAAAAAAAACACAAAAAGTTTCAGACTTATTAAACTGCCCACAAATTAATGGATTACATGGCTTGGAGAGTATTTGGATCAACAGCAATTTTACAAATGCATACATTTCCCAGGGTCCAATTATCTTTCTTTTACATAAAAAAATCTGCCCTGGTGTCCTTGATGATAAAAAGACATTTCTTGTTTCAGCACGGTGTCCTTGATGATAAAAAGACATTTCTTGTTTCAGCACTTTGGCGAAATTGAACGGACTCAGATTCAAGAACCAATTGACATCAGTTTGACCATAAATTACCTTGCTGGGCTTTCTTTGCTGTTGCCCAATGGGTGGAAGTAGGGGGAAGTGAAGGAAAAAATAAAGGTACACTTAAATTACTTTCAAAAAGCTGATTTTTTTTCCTTTTCTTTTTTTACTGAAACAAGAAACTCTCAAATGCAAGTCAAAAAGCAGAAAATATTTTACAATAGTAAAAAGTCATCTGTATTTAGTTTCAGCATATTAACACAATCCTGAGCACTGAGCACGTATGGACAACATGGCCTTCCTTGGATGCATGAAAAGGAAATTCAACATAAACACGTTGATAAGACCTGTGCCAGGAGATGTGCTAGTGTTTTCTCTCGTTTTAATTACCATCAGTGCCAGTTTCTGTCCTTCCTATGGAGACCTCCAAGGAAGGGTCATGGAGGCTTATTCAGAATGATCCTCTCAATTAAAAAAGAAAAAAAAATGCAAGACAGAAAAATCAGATCATTGTGGTTCAGAAACAGATCTTTGCGTGAAAAGTTTTAACTCCTCCTCTTTCCTCTCCTGAAGTAAAGATCTGCAATTGGAATTCTACCCCACAGGCTTATCCACAGTGGATCTGGTGCCGGTTGGAGCATCTTATTGGGAGGCCTGGGGTGGGGGGTTTTCTGATTTGGTTTCTTGCGTGGCGGGAGGTTTACTGTTCCATGGGCTGTTGTTCCCCAGGGCGGGTGAATTGTTGAAGTCCTCCTCGTCGTCCATGCCGTTGGCAGCATCATATTGCGTGTTTTCTAATCTAGTGATTAGCCTTTCGTCCTCGTCCCCAAACTCACCTCCCATCAGAGTTGGCTCTCCTACCACCATCACATCCTGTGAACAGCAGCTGACATTATTACAGGGAAACCTTGGGAGAGAGAGAAGCTCAGCTTAAAACAACAGTGGGAGGAGCTGGGGAGCCTAGGACAGACACACTGTGTGCTGTACAACAGGGTCAAGTCTCAATGTCGGGGGGCCGAGACGCAAATTTGATTTCTACAGGAAATAAACATTGCCTCCTGATGTGTAACAACCACGCGAGTTTATGTCCTTAGTGTGCAGCCTGACACCGGAGAACGAGCAATGCTAGCAATCTGCAGAAATAAAAAAATGGATTTTTCAAAATTAAAAAAATCCACGCTTTGAACTTGCTGACACTGGGGACTTTTGAGATGGCTATGGACCCTTCTGCTGGGTGCTTTTCAATACCTTCAAAAATCTGCCACTTTTATTGAGAGCTGGAAAGCAGCTTTGGAAACTAGCAGTGAACACTGGATATGTGTAAGGTGCCACTCTGCAATATTCACACAACTCATTCCAAATGATATTTTCTCTGTCCCAAGGATGGTATGCGTTTTAATTGAAGACAGAATCTCTCTTTTTTCTACTCAGCCAGGCCCTTTTATGCAGCCCGTATCCTTGACATTCTGCTACTTAATTATGGTAATTAATTTAGGTAAAGTTTTCGATAAAAACAATGTTCACACTGATTTGACAATTTGCATAGCTAATTAACTCATTAGCAAAAACCTGCTGATTGCCAACAAGCCCTGAATTTACCATCTGTTATTTCATGGTGCCTGTCACCTATCCCCACACAGGCAACCCTGCTACCAATCTGGGCAGTAAAGAGAACCAGTCCATCCAGCTGGTGCCATAAAAGGAAGATGAAGAGAGCTAATTATAATTACACTGATGAAGCTGGTAGTCATCAGAAATGGAAACATTCAAGAAGAATCCATCTAATCACTCCTTTAAGTACAAATTGTCCTTCCATGCAAACAAGGAAGCCACCTACTGTAGCTGGGAGCCCCATGGAGGCCACAGCTGGAGAAGCCCAGGGATGAAGATGGGAGGGGGGATGTACCCACAGGGCACAGCTCCCTTTTTTGTACAAAGGGGACCATAAGGGTGCTGGGTGACCTGGACATGGGATAGCACACCTGTCAGGTAGGTTCTTCTGGGCAGGCTCTGAGCAGTATTTACTGAAAGAGCAATGCTTCAGAATGAACAGCTATCAGCTTCCATAAATCCATCCAAGACGGTCACACACTCTTGGAGTTGTGGGAGTATATCTCCTATAGGGAAGTTAATTCAATCAAATGCTTTGACGACAGGGCAAAAATTATTTTCACTGGGGTTTTGCCAAGAGAAGGTGTTTCTAGGCAGTAAAGTAGAATACTGTCTATGTCCAGGAGAAGGGAACAGGGATCTCTAGCCCCCTTCTAGAATTTTAATGGTGCCCATTGGATAAAGCTCTTAATCACCACCTGATCTATTTGGGGACAGACAACCTTGTTTTGTTTATTTCCTCCTTTCTCTTGAGTTAGGAGACATAATCAATAGGTTTCCAAACTATGTTTTCTAATTAGTCACTCTTGTGAATCGATAAAAATGATGTTAAAGAGAAATGTCCCCGGTGGGGTAAATTTGTAAAATGTGTACTTGGTCAAGTCAACCATACTGCAGGATACTAGACAAGTACTCCAAGAACGGGTTTACCAGGCAACGAAGAGCTAGAAATGACACTGAGATGTAGGGAGACTCACGAGGACTCTTAAACTGAGATGCAAATAAACACAGTCTCTCTGACTGGCAAGAATGATGACAGGGTTTTAGATGGAACATGGGTACTGCATGGACATGTAAACGTGATTCAGTTAGCTGGGAAGCTGCCATCTGACCCTTGGGGGGTGTCAGAATAGGAAAGTGTCACTTAGTTACAGGCAATTAGGAGGCTGCAATTATGATCAGGAATAAAGGAAGGCAGAAATAATAGGATAAGATTGGCTAGAGCACAGCTTGTGAGTTAATCTCATTTCCGGGAGTTTGTACGAAACTCTTTGAAGGGCTTAGAAGACACATGCATCAGGTGGCCCTGGAGAGGAGAAGGATGTTAGAACCAACCGTGTTGGTCTGCGTTAGTATTGTGACTCCAAGGTCATTGAGGGAGACTCGAAGAGTGCGAGGAGGTAAGCATGATTTGAAAAACAGAGGAGACACATAAGAAGCAGCCAGTTCAGTGTGACTTCAGAAGAAAAGCCCCCAGCAACGCAGATGTGTTGTTCACTGTATGAAAAAATGACAGTCATGCAAGAAAAGCACTAGGAAAGCAGTGGTTTGAGTCACTTCAGATGGGACTGACACAGACTTGTAATGTGTGTGGCAAATCTTTTTTCTAGGAACAGACAGAAAATAAGCCCAAACATAGGTGTTTTTAAGCATCCTCAGTTTCAGAGAAATGCCACATTTGTTTTACTAATTATAAAAAAAAAACATGCTTAGTCAGATACACGATGAGGTGTATGTGTGTGCTTTTTATGTACAAAGATATGTGAATATGCTTACAAAATTATATACACATTTTTATGTGTTTTCTAAATACTGACTCTGCTCTATCTGCCTTGATTTGCTGTCCTCACACAAAATAAATGGAGACATGATACACATTCTGGGTTGTCTCTAACTAGGGGATGTGAGCTGCATTTTCTTCCACCCCCATGCCTTTAAAAATCCCCCGACACTGGCAGTGAGAGTGCATTTCCTTCCCATCTCCAGCCTCTGTGTCCCATGGAGGCATCTGGGGTCCATTTGAGAGTAACCCATGTGCCCTTGGCTCCCCACAGGCTGACCTCTGCTCCTGGGCTGGGAGCCTGGAGGTGCCACCAGCTTTTGCCCATTTCACATCTTCTCACTAATTCCCCGTGCAAGGACCACCAACCTCTGAGGAGGACTGGAAGTGACTCCTTTCAGGGCCCCTCAATGCTTCTCCTTAAATTGGCCAGAAGGGGTCACTGCTGTTGAATGACACAGGTCTCCATCCCTCCCAGGGTTGAGGCTGCAGTTCGGGATGGCTCCTAGCCCCTGCTCATGGAGTGAGAAGCAGAATCCAAGGATTAAACCCTAGTCCTGGCCACACACACATATTGCTGCCACAGCAGATCACAACTGTGATTGCTGGACCAGGCAACTGATGCCTGCAGATAGCATTTCTATTCAAACTCTAAGATAGTGTTGATGATTCAACAGACAGAGCTAAAAGATGTGGTCACTACAAATAACCCCATGCTTATCACTTAACATTGGTTCAGTTTGAAGAACACCTATGGATCTGCCCATTTTCCTAACCTGGTTTCCTTCTTTGCATCTCTGAGCTATGACAAGTTTTGTTTAATTAAAGCATCTTGAATTGCATAATGAGGGGAGATCATGATGAAACTCAGCTTTCATCTCTAGTGGTACCTTGCTCACACAAAATCCAAGTGGTCTCAACTCATAAAAATGTCACTTTACACAGGGTCCTCTGCTAAAATTCAGTTGTAGGTTTGGAGGCCAGGGGCATAACAGAGTATAAAAATATGTGCTTTTAAAAATGGAATTAAAATTATTCTGCCTAGACCAGATGTCAGAACATACCATATGGAGGCTTTCTACTTTCAATTCTATACCATCACTAATGGATGGCACATCAAACCCAGTCTAGGCCTTAGAATCCTTCTCAATACTGTACTCTGACAGGAAATCTCTTTGCCATCCCTAAATTAGATAGTGACCTCAATGACAGAAGCTGGGCTTTTTTGTTGTTTTTTGTTTTTTTTAATTTTAGTATCGCCAGTACCTGAACTAGTGTGGGGCTCAGAAAGCACTTGTTGATCTGATTTGAATTCTTGCAGCTGCTGTGTCTTTCAGTAGCTATGTCACACTTCTAGAAATCTCTGAAGTGTACTTTTTTTCTTTCTTAGAGGAAAGTAACAACTATCAGTTTCTGAAACTCTAGGACTAAAGGAATAAATGAGCTACTTGTGTGCACATTTTTAGTCAATTTGTTTACATGGACCATTTTCTCTAGGCATTTTCCAATTTAACCAGGAGTGGGCATAACTTTTGGGCACCATATTAAAGAAACTCAGCTTTTCTCCTTTGATTCCCTGTTCCCCTCCCCCCCAGAACTTCAGGGTCATAGAGGTCTATTCAGAAAATAGAAAATCGAGGACTATTCTCATTATTTGAGGACTATAACCCTTAATTGACTTAAAATTTAAAAGGCACCTTCCATAGCTGGTGGCCATAATCTTCAAGACCCTTTCTTTCTAACACAGTGAACATTGAAACCATACCCCCATCTGTGCAAGTTAGAGGAAATATAATGGCCCAGAGAATTCTTGGGGGTACTGATGGGCTTGGTTTTGTCTAAAGAGAACTGACCAACAGACAGTAGGTAAAGGAGGATGGAGACAGAAAGGTACATTTGGAAGTAGGGAATTTCTGTGTATAAAAGTTCACTCTTTTAAAAGATGGAGCAGGATCAGAACGAGAAGGGTGAGGGCAACAGATCAAGGGGGGGGCGAGAATGGTGGAAAAGGGTAAAACTGAGTTGGCAGAGGGAAGTTAACAAGAAATGGGGTGCATCTCTGAAGATGTAGTATCTAGAAAGTGTCTATGAAGCCCCAGGAAAGGGTTAGGATTTACATGAGAGCTGAACACCTGGTGACATGGTGGTGGGACAAAGGCATCAGAGAAGGAAAACCCACAAGGAACCATGAGAGGAGAAGGGACAGGGACGGTGGTGTTTGCTGGAGAATTTACAAGCAATAGCCTAATATTGGTGGGGACATTCAGAAGCAGGAAGGAATTAGACTGAAGGACACAGCTGAACAGAAACAGTAGGTGATGAAAAAAGTCCTGCACAGTCTACACTATTCTGGAATTACCCTCAGCTATCATTCTCAGAGTTCCAAGAAGTCCCTTGCAAGTGGACTTTATCCAGACCCAGAAATGAAAGGAAGAGGTTAAAGGTCAAGAGAGTTGAGACCAAACCGGGGACTGACTACCCCCTGAGCTAATAAAATACATACAGTGAAATCCACTGAGGGAGCTGCATATTTAGTGGCTGAAAGTTAATTACCTGGATCTTAAAATAAGGGGGGACTCCCATGCTGGGAAGGCCCAGGCAAATTACAATAAGGAGCCAGAGTTCCCGGGCCAGTTTCAGTGGCCCACGGGGTCTGAGATGCTGCTGCAGAGGGGAGCTAATGTGCCATCTGCAATGCTGCTAAGTGATGTTTTAATTAAACCTTAAGTGACATATCTCCTGTCTGTGACTTTGACGGCTTTTTAATTCAGGTCCCACTGAAGCACCGACTCTTAATATTCCCTCCTAATTCCCACCTCTCAGGGGAGCGTTTCCATGGCAGGGTTCCTACCTCCCAGGACACCCATCCTTGCCTTGCCCCACCCCCCACCTTCAACCTGCCTGGAATGTGGTTTGCAGCTCAGGGACTTTAATTCAAGCTCCTTGAGTAGGGACACAGGCAAAGGCAAGGTTTCAGGCCTAAAATGAAAGCGAGACTTACAGGTACCTGACTGGACAGGCTCAGGTTTGCGGCTGGGGTCTTCTTCTTGCTGCTGGTGCTGCTGGTGGCGTTCCCCGCACTGCTGTTGGAAGTGCTGCTGGTGGAATTTTTTCTTTTTCTCCGTTTGGTTGTCGGTTGCCTTGTGGGTTCTGCTGCAGTATGGAGGAGAAGAGGGATCAGTTTCCGGGCAAAAGCATCAAGGCAACGGTTACCCTACTGTCCCTCTATGAAACTTGCTTTTGTAAATTGAAAAGTGGACTATTTAAATTTTCATTTCTTGTGACTTTACGAAAACTAAAAGGAGAAAGCTGCTAATTTATTTTTAGCACAAAATATGCGAAACTCTTTAGTGTGTAGATGAAATGATTTTTATTTAATTGTTCTAATTATATGTGGGTAATTTACTAATATTATTTTAGGAGGGAGCTACAGGTAGAGTTTTTATGATTGAATTAAAAATATTTGATTAGCAGTAAATTTGGGAACTTTCCTCCCACTCCCACTGGCTGGCCTATTTTCTCTTTGCAACAAAGGGAGGAAGGACTTCTGTGACCACTAGGAGAAGCAAGGTGTGAAGGAAGTATCAACTGTACCCAGTTGCTTTAGTGAGTCAGTGTGCAACAGCGGCCCTTCCTGGCCAAGTGTTACATTGCATCCCACCTCTGTGATAACCTTAATATTCTCAAGTGAAAAGAAGAGAAAGCATCAGGTTTTTCAGGTGTGCACGTAAGCTTGGGGCTTCCCAAGATCTGTACAAATACTCATGGTTTGGACCCTGGTGCTTAATGAACGCTACTAATTTCAATATTGTAGACAGGAATGTCTTAGTATAATATAGCCACCATATTAATGAAGGGAAACTAGACATCTTCAAGAGAGGCCAATTCAAAAACAGGAAAATATTTTGAATCTGAAGGATGGAGCAACACCTTACTGGAAATATGGACTCATGGTAATGTATGGGAAGAGGAAAACTATTTATTTTCTTATTATCTGTTTATTATGTATAGTGTCTTACTCAATCTGCCACTATTAATGTTTCTTATATATTAACCATTTCATATTCATAATACCCTATTAATTAGGCACTGTTATTATAATCTTCTTTTGTAAATGAGAAATCTTTAGACATCTGTTCCATGCAGTTACTGCATAAGTTGAAAATGGCAGGTAAGAGTGTCATTTTGCTAACTCTATTTTAGATGTGACTCTGATGGTAGGAAGGCAAGCCAAGGCCGTACTGGAATTCAGTAAGTGGGATTTGTAACATTTTCTTCAAACAACTCTGGTGCTTTAGATGGACAAAGAAAGGATCTCCTAGTAAGGTTCATTGCACAGATAATTTAATCTCCTAAATTATCACTGACTTTGATGTATGAGGTGGGATTATGGTTGTATTTATGTGCCTCTTTTTCTTTCATAAATATTTGGTTCCTTTTGCTCAAAAGTTTGTCATCAAAACATCTATTATCTCTTTCAATTGCATTGTGGCTGCTTATTTTGGAGGATGACAGAAAGAAGAAATACAATTATTCTAGATCATGGAGTTGAAAGGAGATGTGAATGGGAAAGTCTAAGTCAAGTGGATACCCAAGTCTACTCTCTGATAAGCATCTTTTTTTGCTTTGAGCTTAAGAACATAAATCTGTTCTTTTTAAATCTGTATTTTACTCATACAATTTGGGTGAATGCTTCTAAAATGAACATACTAGATTTTCCCATTGGTGGCAGGTGGCTGTTGGAGTAAAATCATAGACTTTGAAGACATAGAAACCTACCTTTTTGTGACTTTGGCAAATTACTGCCTTTATAAAATGAGGAAAAGAATAAATGATGACTCTTAAGGCCATTGTGAAGATTTAATAGTTTTGACTGTTGTATTCAGTGTTGTACCTCCAGTGGCTTCAGCAATGCCTGCTCCCTAGTAGGGGCTCAGTAAATAATTGTTGAATGAATGGATGGATGGATGGATGGATGAATGAAGAATGTGAGTTATATATGCCTGTGTTTGAAAATATAGTGCTCAAGCATTTGGTGAGTGAATGGGGTTTTGTTTTTCATAAAGACTTATTGATATTGAAAGAGAAAATAAGGCCAATTTAAGCACCTTTAATGTACTTGAAAAGTAATATTCTAATTCTAAAAGTCTAAAATTCCCCTATGATGGGGAAACTATTTTATGTAAAATAACATTTATTTTCTTGGCTTTCTAAATATGTAGTAAGTTAAATCTTCTATAATCACTTTATATAAAGCTTCTGGCCAATTACCAGTGGAAGGTGACCATTATACTTTGTGATTCAGAGAGCTATGTGCCTTATGTTAATAATTACTCTTTATAAAAATAATTTTTAGTTAATGGATACATTTTTCTTTTGTGATCAGTGAGGCTCCACACAAGCCTGGGAGTGAAAATGTATCAGGTAGAAGGACAATTAACGATGACTTGAAGCAATAATTTCAGAACCCCAGCAGAACACTACAGAACCTACACTGCAGCCTAGGAAGTGAGGGAAATGGAATTTTTATGTATTCTCTCCACAACCAGAGTGACTGTTGATATAATACATCTCAAAAAATAGTGCAAACCTTATTTACCTTCTCTTTCTCCCCTCCCTCCCATTCTCTATCTGATCTTATTCTCCCTTTCTTCCTTTTCATAATTTCTATCATTCTTCAAAACTAAACACTAAAAACATTAGGCCATGAAAAGCCGCATTCTGATCCAATGTGACCATCAGTGCGTTGAGAGAGAAAACCCTGGTTCTGATTTTGACTTTTCCAATGACCTTCTTGATGACCTTGAACAAGTTATTTCACTCCTCTGGGCTTCAGGTCCTAATCTGGCAAGCAAGGAGACAAGCTAATTCCTGGGCTGGCACAGTGACACAAGTGGTGGAGTGCCTGCATAGGAAGCACCAGGCCCTGAGTTCCAACCCCGATACTGAAAAAAAAAAAAAAAAAGACAGGCTAATTCCTAAAAGTATCTGGCCTTCAAAAGTTCCAGGTCTCTATGCCCAAAATCATGGCCAGAATTTCCTTCATAAGCAACTTCTAACAAAGTTGTGGTCCTCTCTTTCTTTTTCATATCACTTCATCCCTCAAAGAAACCTCTGAAAATGTATTTAGAAAGAGTGAAGAATGAGAGTGTACCTGGCGGTGCCACCATCCGCTGCCACTTCTGGAACAAGCAGGTCTTCAGGCAGTCTCGGGGACTGAGATTGTAGGTTTTGTGTCTAGACATCAGTTCCTGCATTGGCTCCAGTATTACACACAACTGCAAGGAGTTCAGAGACATTGGTGTTTGGCTACTTGGTCATATTAATTCCAATAAACAATGTGAACAGCTGGAATCAATTAGACAGCTTAAGGGTACTTTTCTTTCTTTCCCTGGTTTTGACTTTCTCTATATAAGTTTGAGGGAAAAGAAATATTATCAACACTTGATTGTACCTACTTAATTTAGTATCATTTGTAATATGGTATTACAGCTGAAGGTGATGTATGCACACACACACACACACACACACACACACACACACACATCCTGTACAGATTCTGAGTTAGATACATGTAGCTCTATTATGAATTCAGATGACTTTCCCTGGGTAAAGATAAAAGCTCTCTTCTGTGGAGCCCAGCATGCTCTGACTTCTATTCTGGCTTCTGGCTTTTGTTCTTGTTTGTATAACCACACACTGTGCGTTACAATGCTAGTTTATGCAGATTGTCTTACAGTGAAATTCATCTTTTAAACTTTGGAGAACGGAGTGGCAAGTACAGGTACTTTGTGATCCTTGTAAAGGCAGATGAAGAGTGCTCTTTTATTTTTATTCATGTACTCACTGGCGTTTTACACATGCAGGTAATGTAAATAGCATATGGCAATGCTCATTCCGTGTGGGAGGCCTGCCTGTGGTTCTGCACTTGTCACCTCGTTCCCTCTTTTGGTTAGATTTTTCAGCTCTACTTTGGTCTAAGACATCTGACAACAAAGATTAATGAATGAAACAAGAAGGTAAAACCATTCAAGAGTTCCTTAGGCTTTTCTGAATTCCTTTTTGTTGTAAGCCTATCAGACAACCACTGCACTGAGGATATTTTATTGAAGAGGACAAAGATGACAACTTGGAATGATATATAAATCATGGTTGCAATTACAGTGATACAAATATTGGCAATACAACTGTCCATAGGAAAAAGCTTCATTTGATTATGAAAGATAGGTGTGTCACCTGCAGCTTCATGGTCCTTCCTTCCTTATGGTCCTCTTTCACCTGCGGTGCTTCTCTAGAGGCCATGCTGTCTTTTGCTTATTGACTTCTTCCCTCTCCTCTTCCTGGCTAATGTCCACTAATCCCTGAAGACTTAGTGACTTCTTTTGTAACACTCCCTTGTGCATGCTGCCTTGGTGCTTCTCTATGGTTCTCTACTGCATCCAGTCCTTTCTGCTATATGGACCTATTCAGGCTTCGTAACCATGTGCTACCAAGTCTGTCTTTTCCATTAGACTAGTGATTCTTTAAATGCTGAGACTATGCCTTTTATTTCTGTGTTCCCATCTTTGGCTAAAATGAATGGATGCATTTAAAAGATTCTTAGAAAGACTAAAGGTCTTTCCAGGTTGATGTTCCTTAAAGTGTAGTTTAAAGAACATTTCCATCAGAGCCAAATGGGCTGATTATTAAAATACAGACTTCTAAACTCTCAGTTCTGTTTCATTGGGTTTAGAAGCAGGGCCCTGAATCTATATTTTTAAACTCCATAGTCCCCATGTAATACTCTAATTCTGATCAGCACTGACCTACAGATTCTTGGCTTCAGAAGAGATGACAGAGACACAAGACATGACTTCCTCTGAGGAAATTCCTTCCCTTAATCTCAAGTCCAAGCATATTGATAAAGACTACCTTTACCTAGAAAGATCCTTTCGCCCTTTCTACCTACTGATGACATCAATTTGCTAAAAACCACTAACCTTATTTAAAGGCCAACTGTAAATATCTTCCATTTGCAGTTTTCTCAGGAAGAAGAGAGTAAGATTTCAAAGCCCAAATAATGCAAGTACATTGTGCACGCCAGGCACAAAGCCTCTAATCTTAGGAATTCATCATTACAAATCCAGTAAAGTGAAAAGACCAGAACTGGATATCTTGTGTACCTTCCTGCTTAATTTGGAATCCTCTTTGAACGGTAAAATATCAATAAGGAAAAACCAGTGAAAAGAGGCAGATTTGTGTAAAATTTACTCCATATTCCAACACGATGAAGGCTCTGTGTGTATTCCTTTATTAAGAATTCTTTCCTGGAAACCAAACTATGTGTACACCACATGGTGTAAAAGATTCACAGTCTTCTCTACAAGCAGATATGAAAATGAATCATCCTTTGGAGAAGAATCATCTCTAGATTCAGGATTAGAATTAGAAGATATTTACATTCATTGTTAAGTAGGTATATTAGAAAGATTTCAGAGAAAACACTAGGGAGTAGAAAATATTTTTAATAAAAAGAACTTTAAAAAGTCTTCAAACTATTTCCTTTTGTTTCATTTCTCTTTCATTGCGTGTGAGCTTACAATGGATATAAAATTCCTGGGGAGGGTGAAACAGGCATGGATTTATAAGTTAAGAGGCTGATGTACAGATTTTGACAGTCACCAGGTGTGTATCCTTGGGTGAGCTGCTTAAAACACTGAGTTGCAGTTTCACCTGCAAAACAACACACACCACAATGTACAATACTGTGAAAATCTGAGCTAATGTGTCTAACACGTAAGAGGTTGACAATCTGTGGGTATAATGATTGTGTGAGCAAGCACAGCACAGATTGCAAAACAAACCAAGTGCTATTACTTTATATCAACAAACATTTATTGAGCTTCTTCCTCAGAGTCAGGCACTCAGCTTGGTGCTGGAGACACGAAAATGAGCAGAGCACTATCTCTGCCCCTTTAGAAACGATTCAAATGTATTAAGAAACCTGTGCTGGATTCAGTGTCTCAGGAAATCACATCCTTCTGATGCAACGATTTTTCATTATATGTCAAGTTACATGGCAAAGTCGACCTGTTTGGCCCCAGAAAGGGCTACCAGTCTTAAGGAGGCTCTCGATTGGGGAGCTACATTTATTATGAGAACCTAAAACTCATTATCTCTTTTGTTTTTATAGTGCCTTTCCTTTCTGGGTATTGGAAAACAAGTTGCTTTTTTTTCCATTAGGAAAGAATCCTCAAAACTCTCTCCTTTCCCCTTTAATGCAAAAATATCTTGCCATCATTGTAACCCACCCAAAAGAAGCTTGCATCTCTGCATGCTAATCAAGAATCCCCAAAGCTATTTCTTACAGTGGAGAGGCCTGAGCTGGAGAGGTGGCCCTCCCTTGTTCATGTATGCAGATGAGGCATCCTATCTGCTGTGCAGACGCAGTGGCTTTTCTGGGCTGTATGCTGTAGGTGGCAGAACTAACTCAGATAAGAGCCTCTCTTCTGGCAGCAAGCCATTGCATCCTGGCAACAGCAACAATCTGGAGCATTATGAAATAAAATCAGGAAGATGGTTGACGGAGTGGGCTCCTGTAGGCGCTAACCAAATCTTGGAGCTGTGATTCCTGCTCTCTCTAAGGTCTCAGACTCTCTTGAGCAATCTGCTGATGGCTATGCAGCATGTCTTTCAAATTCTGTACATTTCTGGAGGTTGGTGAATTCACTATAGACCCACTCGTTGACTCCAGGTAGAGAGTGCCCTGTTTGTATTAAGTATAAACTAGACTACAATAATGTGCCAATCTACAAACACACACACACACACACACACACACACACACACAGGTGTTAACTGAGCATAATAACACAAGAGGCTTTGGTTTTTAAGAGGAATTTTATTGCAAAGCTTGGCCTTCGAAAAAGTTCCTAGTGGACCAGATTCTTTTCTTGAAAAAGGAAGGCCACAGTCAGCACATCTGTATCATCTGCAGCAGCCTCCTTTCAGGGTTGCAATTTAGTTTGGTGTCCTCTTGCTGTGGTCTTGGAAGATACCGTGAGGGTTCCTAGGGAGCAGTGGAAAGGGTAGGAGCCAGCAAGACCTAAGATCTCTCTGAATATAAAATTCTTCAACACGTGGTGTCTACCTAGCCCACTGGGTACCACTGTTCAACCTGACAAACCTCGAAAGACAGTGGTTTGCAATAGTGACAGGTTTAGGCTGGGTTTGCCCCCTAGGCTTCTGATGCCAATTTCTGGGATTCTGGATGCACACTGACTTTGGTATGGAATTCCGTAATCATGATTGGGAATGGCTGAATGAGTGGATGGATGGACCAATGGGTGGATGGATGGGTAATAGATAATTTGATCAGATTAATAGCAAGGTGTCACTTGTTCATGGCAGACAAATCAGGCATAGTCTTGTGAGCTTAGAAGTGATAAATTTTTCCATCTTATAAATGACTGATTGATTGCCTCTTCTGTGCAAAATGCTCACCCAAAATATGAACATCCCGGCCTGCAGGAAGATAGCTCCATCCCAGGACCCCTGTAGCTTCATATTAACAAACAGCCTAGCAAATGTGAACAGTGTTCTCTTCTGTTTACCTTTTCATCTTACAATTCTCTTGAAGGAATTTGATTCTCATTACACATCCTCACTCACTATTTTGATACAGCTCATCTACAGTATTGAAGACAGAAGTGGTGTTTGGCAGTGTTGAGCATGAAGTACAAAGTAGCTGGTGTCTTGGGGTTAGCGTTTGGTTACATCCAACCCAGGCTCTGACTACCAACAACATTCATCTCAGGATGAATGACATCCTCTGAGCCTGCACCGCCTACTTTTTGTACCTAGGCCTGTTCAGGGATGCCAGGTGAACACCTTGCTCAGGCTTCTGCTCAGGTTTCTTTTCTTGCCCATAAAGCCTTCTCTCCTCTTTTCCAGTCATCTTAGCCAGGGGTTGGCAAACATGGCCTGTGTGCTAATTCTGGCTATGCTTACACATTGTCTATAGACACTTAGTGCTACAACAAAGTTGAGTAGTTTGAAAAAGTCCATATAGCCCCCAAATCCAAAGAATATTTACTATCGTGCCTTTCAAAGAAAATCCATTGCCCCCTGACAAAATAGTATCATTCTAAGGAAATGGACTGTAAATGACGTGTCCTGTTTCCATGATGGGATGCAGAGCTTGTATTACTGGACTTACTGCTTCCTTCACTGAGAAAGTTTTACATCAACAACAACAACAAAAAGTCATATGAACTAAGCAACATGCTAAGTGA